GTTGGCGAAAAAACGACGAAACTCGGTTAAACGAGCTAAACGGAAGAAAGAAGAGGAGGCGCGCGGATTATTTACGGGGCGTGAAAGGTAGGGAATTTTGGATTTCTCGAAAAAGGAACAACTCTTCGAGGGAGGAAGTTTACTTAGGAAGGAAATTCTGTACGAGCGACGTCTCTTCAAGATGAACGGAATGGTGTACACCGTTGTCGAGCTTTAGTCGATGACGGGAATTCTTTGTGATCGCGAAATTGAATTTTGAAGGAGCAATTAAAATCAGGTTCGGATCAATTTTATTAGAAACATGAAAATTTGTTAAACATTGTTAAAATTATTCAATTTGAAAAATTAGAAATCGTCGAAACCTCATAGTAATCTCAGTGAATTTTCGAACAATTTGTTCGGAAAAAAGTAATAAATGTAAAAGAATGAAAGAAAAAAAAAGAAATAGTTAATAACTTCGCAAAAGTTGAAGAACGTTCAACTTGTTCGCTTTAATTCACAAATTTTTTTTAAAGATTTTGAGCGACGCTGTCTTAAGATAATTTAAAGTTACGCAGCGAAAAGAGAATATCTTGAAATAGTGGGAAATGAATTAATATAAGGTTCGGAGAAAGCGCGAGATGAGGCTAATTGGAATGTCAAGAAACAAGAAGTTTAAAGTAAGCTGGAACAAATTGGCATCAGTCTCAGAGGTACAAAGTGGGGCGTGGTGTAAATTGAAGCTGGGAGAAAGATATAGATCGACGCTAGTTAAAACGAGTAAAAGCAAATCGTTCGAGTTGGGTTAGATCTGGGCGGCATAGCCGTCAGTCGGTGCCGAGTTGAATGAGTAAATGCGAGTCGAAGTAGGTTGGGGCGACTTAGAAGAGATTATTCAAAGTCAAAGGGAATTGAAGCCAAGGGAATTAGAGCGCACTGAAACGAGTTACCTCCACGAGTTGAAGCATCCTATCCGTATTAAAATAACCGATATAAACAATCCTTTCCGTGTCAAGAATTTAAAAACACGTTATTTTCGTTCAATTTGCTGTTCTTGTTTCGTTACCCGAAATTACAAATCAATTATTCCATTTCTATATCTGATTGAAAGAAAAGATATAACGTACTTACACAGTAAGATTATTTAATATAATTGCCTTTTTGTCCTAAATAGATAAGTATAAAAAAAAAATCTCGATTTTAAAATTTTTATCGATTCATTGTTAATAATTTTTACCTTTAAAATTGTTACAAACAAAATTTTAAGAAAAATTTTTTTCTTTCTTATCAAATCAAACAACGAATAAGATATAAATTTCTCAATTTCTATACGAAAAATAAAAACCTTAGATACCTAGATGTCCAGATTGACACGAAGAGGGATGAAAAGGTGGGAAAGGAAAGAACGTATACCTACGTTTCAACCGGAATAAGTGTAAATGTCGATCCTCGAAAGGGAAACCCGTCGCTACGCCCTGTCCCAAATTAGTTGCAGACGTTTCATTTATAATACCGTCGCCATTGTATCGGATCCGGCATCACAATGGCATTGTGCGTGCAACCTATCTCGGCGAGCGAGAAGGAAAACGACTCCTGCACGCCGCTCCTGCACGCCTGTTCCCTGCTCGCCTCTCACGGTGTGCGTGCGTGTGCATACGTGTGGATACGCCGTGTCGTGTAACGACCAATATTGGCCGTGAAAATTTCAACGTTTCGACCGCTTTTAATCCATCAAAGCCTGCTGCGGTGGGTCTCCATTAATCGCCATGAGAAACCATTTCCAACCAATGAATCATCCGCTCGAACGGACCTTTCGCCTTTTGCGTTTTTCGGGGTCCCCGAATGAAACGGATATTAGCGCGTGGACGACGAAGGTGGTATTGGTGGTGGTCACTTCGATCTCGAGTTCGAACGCTTTGATCCGACTTTCCTCTTTCTCTCCTCTCCTCTCCGTTTATATTTTAATATCGTAATAAAGAGAACGGGGATAGATCTGATATTTCTGATATAAATACGACGTGCAAAACGCATAACGTCGACGCACGCGAAAAAAGCGACGGTTTGGAAGGGAACGTTTCAAGGACCGGTTAATCCGAGAACGGGCCCGCAATCGTTATCGTGGCGGCGCAGCGGCGCCGAATTTGCGTGACTTCTTTCAAAATTACGAGGCGGCGCGAAATCCGCGCGATACCTCGCCCGGCTAATAAAACGAGTCGCGGCTGATTTAAATTCTGCACGTGTCCAACCGGGACTCGAAAAAAAAAAAGAAAAAAGGGAATTCCTCCCTTTTTTTCACCACCTTCCCCCGCCATTTTTTCCCTCCCCCTCGCATGCAAAGTCGAGATAGTTCCCTCTCCACCCCGCTCCATTTTTATCGCGCGGTCACCGCGGTCCACCGCGAATCCCTTTCTCGGCCGCCATTTAAGAGACCGATACCACGATACGACTTCCGGATACCAGCGGAGGAAAGGCGCTTTTTCTCCGGCGTTGCGCGCCGTAAATCACGGAGAGAGAGACCGCGTCTTGGGAAATCTGTTCCGACACCCTCGCGGCCAATTAAAATACCCGAAAGTCGGCGAAAAACTCAGCTGGAACACCACCAGTGCCCTCCTCCAGCGGTGGAGTGCCAGTGACGCGCGAACTTTTGGCAACAAGCGTTGATAAATCTCATCCGGCGAGCGTGACAGATTTGCGGGGGGAAAAAAATTGGGGAGCACGTGTTGTCCGCTTGCATTCGGCCTCCCATTTTTGGTTTGTGGAGGGATCGTTCGTTTCTCGGAATCATTAACGTTGGTATATATCTGGTCGAATCTAATTAATCGATCGAGCGGCGTGTTTTCGGAGAGAAGGATTTCGCGCCACTCACGGTGAAGCGAAAATGTAATTATGCCTCCTGATTAATTTTAATCGAGGGAGGAATTGAATTCAATTTTCAGAGACACGGGGCGATCTCGATCGTTCGTGGAATGTGATTTTCCTTTTATTTTGGAAGAAGCAGGGGAAGGAGGGTTTTTTTTTTTCGAAGTTCGATTACGAAAAATTCGTAAAAGTATTTCCAATATATGTCGCGGGAAAAAATAAATAAAATTCATAAAAATAATCTGGACGTTGTCTCGCGCGGTGTTTCGTCGTTGTAAAACGCGCAAATTGAGGAAGTAATTTGTTTCCGTTTGACCGTTAATCATCCGGTTACCGTCCGTGTACGCTACGACGAATGGTATATTGATTTCCTGTGTTTTTTTCGGAAAATTACCTGTAAAATTCCACGGCGAGGTTCTCCCCTCCCCCCTCCTCCGCGTAACAGCTTGTACGCGTTAACGTTCGATCGAAACAGGCATGTTTTCGAGGCCGGTATACGCACCGAGCATGCACCGAGAGCAGTGTGATGAGAGAGCCTGGTGTCGTGATTTATCTGCAACGATAATGCAACATAAAATTTCGTTTCCTCTTGTTTGCCAACAACGCGTTGTCCACTTTTACCATCCTTGTCCCCGTTTACCATTTTTACGCTTTTTTACGAGCGACATTAATGCCTGGCGAAATATCCACTTGTTCATACATATATATATATATATATATATACACACTTGGCCAGTGAAAAAAAGGCGCGCGCGGAGATTTGTTAAATGTTAACTTTAGATATTCCAAAATTGAATATAAATATTCCTTCATACACTCGACACGATAACTTTTCTTATCTCCGAAATAAAATCCGCTTTTCGTTTCGTTCAATCGTTTCATCTTTCCATCGGAAACGACTCGTTCCGAAAATTCTCGTTCAATTTTCACGCGATAATAATGAAACGAAGTATCGATAAACAAGCGAAACGCGCGTAAACGACTCTCGATAGAAGTTTTCGCCCATGGAGGAATGGAGCGCGCGAAATTTGCCAGGGCAAACGAATCACGGGGGGGGGAGGGGGGGAGGGGGACAAATCGCGTCGACGGACTCGCGCCCAATTAATTTTCAAACAGGCGCGCCAAAACGACGAGTTTCATTAGGGGCCACGTTTCACGTTTAATTCGTCATCGTGGAAGATCGTGAAACGGCGTAACGGTTGAACAACGATCAGGCAACAATGGCGTATCTCTCTTCTTTTTCTTTCTTTTCTTTTTTCTTTTTTTTTTTTATTCGACCAACTTCCACCGTCGACTTACACGAGGGGGAGGGGAGGATGCGTCGCGTTAAAGCGCTTCGCTCGTATTTATCCGGACGATCCCTTTGTCACTTTTACTATCGCGGATACACGGCCGGTAATATCGGACGCATCACAGGGAGGAACCAACCCTTTCCTTCCCTCCCCTTTCCCCCGCCGTTTTACACTGGCGTTCCAGCCGTCGTTTTACACCGGTCGTCGCCAAGGAATTTTCAAAGCCTCCCTCCCCTCTCAGGTGGAGTAGAATTTCACGGAATTCCTTTGATACTTGGTGAAATTAATATAGACAGCGTGGTTTCGCTATGAGACGATGGTGTAATTATTTCATGGTTCATTTTTCTTTCTTCTTCTTTTTTCTTTTTTTCTTTTTCTTCTTCTTTTACTTCTTTCAGCAGCTATCGAAACGACGGCGCTATATTAATCTTTGTTTTCGTTGTTTTCGGTTTTTCGGCCGACATAATTAATCACTCGAGTATTACACTCGTACAATCCTTGATACGTGATATTTCAGATAAGGAAGAAATTCGAAAACGTGTTACGAAAAGAGATAGTTTTGGTAACTGAAAAAGAAAGGAAAAGAATGGAATGGTAGAACGCAAGTTTACCCATTGTATTTTAAAACAATCGATTCGTGAAAATGTAACTTGCGGCTTGAAATTTCGGGAATAAAGGAAAAAAAAATTCTCCCCTTTCACGTTTATCGAACGTAAAAATTTACAACGTACGTATTGTAAAAAAAAAAAAAAAAAAAAAAAAAAAGGAAAAAATAATCCACTCAACTATTCATACGAGATTAAAAAAAAAATATGATCTCCTCCGTTGAGATCATCGTACCGAAAATATTCTCTCGTTAATAACGAAAACGCCTCCTCTTCACCGCCAAAATTGTTTTTTCCACTCGTGCGATAAGGGAATCTCTTGCGGGGGAGGGATCCGAAACGATCCCTAACTAATCTCTATCGCCTCTCTCTCTCTCGACTCGAAGATCGCGATTTAAAAGCTCGCTGCGAGGGAGGAGAGTTTGTCGCTAGGTCGAAAAGAGGAGGCGGAATGAAGATGGATAAATTCGAACGAAACGAGAGAGGAAAAAGAAAAAAAAGAAGAAAAAGAAGAAGGAAGAAAAATACCGAGATGAGACGACTCTGAGCAGGAAATAGATACCGCGGGAGAAAGGAAAGAGAGAGCAATAACGAGAGAACGAGATCGTTGGAGAGGGGAGGGAAAACGATCCTCGGGAATTCAAAGCCGCGATTCTTGCTTACCGAAGGATTTGCAAAGTCAGGCAGAAAATGCGACTGCCTCGGTAGGTGGCTCACTTTAAAAAAAGGCACAGCCCGGATGGATAGAGGGATGGATGGATGGAGGAAGGGGAAAATGGCGGAGGCGCTGGAAAGAACGCAAAAGGAGAGGCACGAAAATCCACGAGCCAGGGGGAAGTTCGGGGGAGGGAGAGGAACGAGCGGCCTCGTTCGTAATCGTCGCCTCGTCGAACCAACGAGAGAGAAGAATCGAGGAGGAGGGAGGGGAGCAAGGATAACACCTGCTCGCCACGCCACGCTGGAAAAGGATATATACGCGATACGAGAAAAGCGAAAGAAGAAAGGAAAGTGGAAGAATATCAGCGTCGAGATAGTGGAGACACGGTGACGAAAGGGAAGGTTGGTCGAGGAAGAGGAGCGAGTGAGCGCGGTACTCGGAGAGAGAGATGGGAGGAAAAGGGGTAAAAAGCGAGGGACCAGGAGAGCAGCTTTCCCAGGAGGAGGAATTCCCGCTCCGAGGCGAGAATTACGAGGCTCAGGTGCACGCGAGTGCATTATTAAAAAACAGGAAACCTCATCATTTTCACCGCCACTCGTAAAGATATTAAATGGAGACTTTATGTTGCCGGCGTTACTCACGTGTTGCCTCGTTCTTGCTCCCGCGCTTGTTTGCGCCTATATATACGGTGTATCGGTAACGAGCGGTTGCGTGTGCGTGAGTGCACGAGCGTCTCGTGATTCCATCTGTAAAAACGAATCGAGGAGAAGAGAAAACTAGAAAATTTATCGATTCGATACCTTTTTCTTTTCTTCCTTCTTCTTCTTCCTTCCCTCCTCTTGTTCCTCGTCGATTACGTACGCGAAGATGCATTTTACTCGTCACAGGAATTCGTGGTATCGCGTTGATTTCCGTTTCGCTCGCGCGCTTAATCGCGATAAGTAAACGCACGCGCCTGAGGAAGTGCATGCTACATCGATTCCCACACTTCCGTTCTTTGTTCACGCGCCTACCAGCCAGCGGCGATTTCCTACTTCGTGCAGCGTCGCTCGATTATCCGAGTCAATATTGCAACGGCCGTGGGCACATATAGCCTGACCAGTTCAGCTCTAATACCTCGAGCTTGAATACCCGAGGATACTTCGTTCCACCGGATGGGGGTTACTCATCACGAGAAAATGTAACTTCTCCTCTCTTTTCTTCTTTTCTTCTTGCTTATTCGTAATTGAAGTAAATAAAATTTCGTATTAAATGCGTTAATTCTCTCGAAAAATTAATAGGATCCTTGATATAAATTGTCCGATATGGATCAGATACGAGTCTGAACAGTAATAATTTAAGAAAATGACGATAGAACTTATAAAATGAAAGAAGCATTGTAAGAAGATCGCTCAATGATTGAAAGGAATAAAAAAATTGCCAGAGTTGGGAATATTATTATATTGCAAAATATAATAAATAAACAAAGAGAAAAATGCATATATTATAAGCTTAAAATTAATCCATAAATAATATCAGTATTTTGTTTAATCTCTAAACGTTTAAAAAAAGGATTCAACGTATAAGAATTTTTAATATATAGTTGTTGTACGTCGAAACAATTACTTTTCATACATTTGAAAATGAACATTATCCAACTAATATACCATTGCTCGTTCCAAGATTTTCTACGATCGAAATTCGATCATCACTCGCGTAGAATGTAATCTGAACGAATTCCCCCTTCGTGATTAATTACATTTTTAAATAATTCGTGTCACATCGTTGAATATGAAATATCCGACAACATGCAAACTATTTTATACGAAGCTGCTGCGCCTAACCGAAACGGTGAAGCGAACTCGTGCGAATTTCTCGGCGGAAATTCATCCCTCCCCGCCCCAACTCATTCCCCTTATTAGCAGGCCGACCGAGAAAAAGAATCTGCGCGTTCAACGAAATCCACCCCTTCTTTTCTCGTTCGAAAAATTGGGGGCAAAAGGAGGCGAGACTGGGGTTTTCAGCCCAGCCGGGGCAATGGCTCGGCGCACGTATCGCGCGTAAACTATCGCTCTCGATTAAGTACAGGTTTCTCGGTGGCGTACATGCAGCATTGTGTCGTGTTCCCACCTGATGCCGTGCATACGTATGCCACGTGCACACGTGCACAACGTGCAGCGGAACGTGTGCACACAGCGGCGCCACGTGGGAGGTGCGCCTTAGGAAGAGGAGAGGTCCGTGGCTTTAACCGCGGAAAGTTGCCGCTAACAAGCAGGTGTTGCAGGTGCCACGAGGCTGGGTCCCCTTTTCCTTAAGCGGTTTGCAGCAACGTCTGAAACAAACGACCGATCCCGTGTATCGACACGAAGCGATGGCTTTAAGTCGATGGGCAAACGTTACTCTATTTCAGCGTTTGTATAAAAGTGGTAGAGTTTCGATTTTTAATGCGCGGCCAGGGGAGAATAAAGTTTTGAGAATTAGGAAAATGGTGAATTTTTATGGTCGAACGCATGAAAGCGGTAGAATGATTCGACTTTTAACGCGATCAAAACGGAGAGAATAAAGTTTTGAGAACGCTAATTCTGCTGAGAATGGTGGATTTTTACGGTCGAGCGAAGAATCCCTCGTCCTCGATCGCTGGTGACAACTATTTTACCTCTTTTGCATCGAATTACGTCGAGTTGAATTTGCTCACCTCTATCATTCCTATATTCTCTATATTCCTCTGTTTTCGCAATCTTAATTCAGCTACGACCGTTCCTCGGCTATCTTTCGAATCGAGAGAAAAATCCGCGAGGAAGATTTTTCTTATTCATCCCGTAGCTGTCCTTTTAATGTTGCACGCTTCTCGAGCCCGCGTACAACATTCAGTTGTGAGAATGTTGCGGTTGCGAGTATAAAAGAATACGGCCGTCTTGTCCCGGGGCGGCCGCATATATTAGTGTCAGGACGGTTTCGGGGGATTGTCGTGTCCCGACGTCCGGCAAGAAGGGCAGGGCCGCGCTTTTTCCTGCTTCGGCCGCGCTTATCTCGCGAGAGACGGGCATTTTTAAATTCCAAATGGACGTTTTTGCCCGAAGAACGCTGTCAGGTTGAACGTTGGTGAACCAGCTTTGCCAGCGAATCGTGTATGAATATTCGTCGTATATAAACGATCGATTTTCGAGGTTGCATGATTTATAGTCGACCGTTCGATGACGCGAAAAATTCATACCGATTCTAATCGAGAATTTTTCGAAAAGTTGTGTAATCGATTACGTGATCGAAACTCGAGAAATTCCAAGAGTCGTAAATTTAAATTTTACTCTCGAGAAAAAAATCTCGACTCTTTCTCCCCGCCTTTCGAAAGTCCTCCAGTTCCGTCGGAGCAAAGTTTCGTTTGCTTTTCGATCCGGTCGCGGGGTCACGCCGCGCAAAGCGATACGCCGCGGCCTTTCTTCGCGTCTAAACTCGAGCGGCGGAAGAGGAGGAGGAGGAGGAGGAGGTAGGGTAGGGAAAAAGGGAAGAATGTCGACGAGGAAACGTAGGAGCGGCCAGGCTGTTGATTTAAGCGCGGCTGAAACGTCGCGAGAGATCGGTACGTTTGCACGGGTGCGAAACGATATTTTCGTTCCACGGTGAAAGAACCTTCGTGACTATTTATAACGCGCGCGTGAATCGTTGTACACACACAGTTTTATCGCGTTTTGCCCGCTTTACGGAGCGTTTATCGCGGTATAATAAAGAGCCACTTTCAGGCATAATGCACGCCGCCGTCTCTCCGCGATGGAGAGAGAGAGGGGGCAGGCCGAAAGTGCGCATTCTTGTACATCCTTTATTGGGACCCATTAACGTTAACGGCCTCGCGAATCAACGTCGCTCGCGAACGATCATCGAGGAACATTGTGTCGAATCGTAAACCGATGGGATTGAATTCTTTTTCCTTTTCTCCTTTTTATGAAACGAGTGAACGCGCGAGGGGAGGAGATGAAAACACAGGGGAGGGAGATACGCGTGTATCAAACAAAGTTGGCCACGAACGAAGAGGTGGATCTTGGTTAAGACGGAACACCCGGGACGGGCTTTGAAGTTTAATAACCGCGCGTTAAATAACCAGCTGTTTCTGTTCATTCTCGAGTTACGAACGACCCGTCCCGACGTATGTAGCGTCAAATGTTATTTTCCCTCGGAATACGATACATCTAAAGAAAGGAAGAAAATCTTCTCGCGATTGATACATCATCGACCCGCGAAATATCTTCTTTCATTTAAAATTACTTACGTAAGCAAAATCTTCCGTTCTTGTTTAAAAAGAATTTCAATCCTCCCGAAAGCAACGATTCTAACAAAGAACCGCTTATGGAATTGATCCCATAACGCAGTTTCCACGCTACTACTATATGTTTCGTTCGATGAAACGATTCGAGCTATCGACGATCTCGCGGTCAGTAACGATTCTCCCTCTCTTCATAGGCAGAGAAAGAGAGAGAGAGATATGGAAAAGTAGGAACGAGCACGAGTCGTATATCCTGTCAATTTTCTTCGCGGAAATCCGAAGCTATAATCAAAGATCGGATCTACGACCTATGGCCGATCGCTTCGAAAACTTGGCTTAGCCGAGTTAGGACAGATAACGTGCATATTGCAGGCGAGGTGTATCGT